CGCGGACAATGGCATTTACCTTCCACAGTTGCAGTGACAGACGCGGTCCTCCCCTCGTAGATGCGGTAAGATGTAGTTGTGAAAGCGATCCAGTAGTGCGTTCATGTCCATTAAACAGGCTATCGCCTGCAAAGAACCATGCAGGTCAGCTGGGACATGTCAAGCAATAGGCTAGGCTATTCCTGCAGACAGCGAATGATTCTTTTAATTAGTATCCAGATAAATAACATCAATATGCATCATAAAGAAAAGCAGAGAAAATCGTCTTGGCAGATCCTCCCCATTCTAAGAAGGGGGACCCTTGCTTCAAAACGGACTTAGATTATTTATTTATGACAGCAGGTAATTATAGGTAGGCTAACCTACTTCCACATGTCACTGATAGGCCTGCCGTAAGGTAGTTTCTCGCAAAATGCGATACATTTATGGCATATTTGTAAGGCTAATCTGATTATATTGGCCTGGGTGAGTAAATTAGAAAACCGTATTGTGGCTGAGGGAAGTGGTGGTGTCTTACCATTACAACTGAAGCACCAAGAATCATAAAAATCATGGTGGTTGTGATCATATGCATCAAAACTTCCAAACTGGCCGCCGTCCTGTAGCCCGGGGTTCTACCCGCGGCGGTGGAGACGCTCCGGCTGGGCTCTGGGCTCTCTGTCCCGGCAGGAGCCGCTCATGGAGCCGCCGCGCCGCTCCTGGCTCCCCGTCCCTTCAAACTGCCCGGTCTCCCTCCGTCCCCTCCTTCACACGGCAAGCCGCTCTCTCAGCCCTCACTGCGCCCTCTCCATCCAAGTAGGCTGTTCCCCCCGGTCGGTTCAGATGCGGCTGCCGCTCGCTCCAAGGAGGCAGTGCTCTCCTAATTACCGATGCAAAAGTGATCCGTTCTCCCAGGCGCGTTTCTATCACTATCCCAGTTTTTAAAAACCATAAAGAAACAAGAGAAGCACTCCCTCGATATCCTAGGGGTGTCGGTATCCTCTCCCCCCCTTTCCAAGTTATTCCAAACCGGGGCTGCGTTTTAATACCGGCGAATTCTTTCCTCCATCGGCGAAAACGGTCAATTTCTCTCGCCTGGATGTTTCAAACAGCTGCACCAACTCCTCTCACGGCCATCGCCCTCGTCTTTCTCGGAATGCTTGATAACATCGACATGAGGTCCATACAGCTCCAGTCGGGAACTAGACCCACCCTGCGCCCGGCGTCCAATTCGGATCCCGCAACGGCAGCTGCATAAACGCCCGGAGCCAGACACGCATGATTATCCCATCCTGGCTTCCAGCAGCTACACGAGCATCCACTCCCACCTCTAGTGCATGTGCGTGTGCGTGTGTATGTGCACGCATGTGTGTGTGAGGAGAGAGAGTGTATGGTGGGCGGTATGAGAGGGGAGAACTGCAAACTGCCTTTATGGCATCGGCCAATAGGCTCATTATTTATAGTGGATATCTGCAGGTGCACTGGAACGGGCTTCAAGAATGGCACTCTTCACAATGATTTAACCTCCTTTTTCTCCAGAGACTTAACCCCTTTTACCCCTCCATACTGTCATCGAACACACACAAACACACTGATTCTGATTCTGCGCCATCCTGTTGTTTAATGTCCAAAGTGAGTCTCTGATCAAAATCATACAGATTCAGAAATCCCAAATTGTCTGACATAATTTTCCTCCAAAACTTGCAAATCTTGTACATATAGTTTATCTGGTCAAACTGAATAGCCACTTGCTGCAAAGATAAATAGGCCTACTATTTTAGTAGTACCATAACTGTACCAATCATCTCGTGACTATTAGACAAAGCTCACTGAGCTATTTTAGAGAAGATATTGGTCCTGAAAGCAACATTATATAAAAAGTACAATGTCAAATGTAATCAAGTAGGTAGCCCAGCCAATCAGCAGTAGATAACGAAAATTCCCAGCAGGTTGACCTTTTCTTTTTACTATAAAGAATAATGATACACATAGTTTCAGCACCATGGACAGTGACAATTCATCAGCCTGCATTTACCAGCTTCTAAAGTGGAATACATTTTTTGAATTGTTGTAAATAAATAAATAATCAAAACCAAAAAATCATCACAAAACAGTCCTATGGGATTCTTTATAAAGTGCACATTGCTGCAGACTTGAAAACATCTGCTGTTGTCACCCACAGGAACACTGCCAGTGTTACCTGATTTCGACCTCCCCACTGAAGAAACACAGCTAAGTTGGGCACCAGTGTAGCTGATTCTTTATCAAAATTTACAGTGGGTAGAATGGGGATAATATAAACATACACAGGTAACAGTAAATGGATTTGCAGTTTTTCTCAGTCGCTTTGGTATGTTTCTCAGATCAGAAGTGAAATTCCCAAAACTACTTGCTCAACCCCCCGCCTCATCTAGTTGCTTGTGCACATCATAAAAGCAATTTCTCATTCTTTTGAACAAATTGTAAATGTCCCCCCATCCCCCCAAAATCAAACAACATCAAGGCATTAGTTCATTGCATAAGTCCTGTCCTGAAGTGATGAAGATATCCGTTGTGATGTGGATGAGAATATGTGGCAAACACAGTAATGAGTGACATTGTACCGTTGTACCGTTGAAATTACAGTTTTTCAGAAATTACAGTTGCTTTGGTACATTTCTTGAATTATCCTTAACATTTGATAAACAGTAAGTGAATTTCCCAAAACCATTTGTTTAAACAGCATCAAACAATGGATTACCTGCAAAAGCCAGTAACTTGCTCATAATCCTTAGTTTATCTCTCAAAATCAAATATTTGTGTCAATGAACATGTTAGTGACATTAGTATGACAAGTCCTTTTCACTGTATACAATCCGTCCATCCATTGTCAACCGCTTATCCTGCGTACAGGGTCGCGGGGGGCTGGAGCCAATCCCAGCTGAGACGGGGTACACCCTAGACAGGTCGCCAGTCCATCGCAGCGCTGTATACAAACAAGATTGTCAAAATACTTAGGCATGTTGTCAATATAACAGTATAACAATATAACTATGATTGAAAATTCTCAAGGCTGCACATTTTCTGTATGGCATATATCACTTTTACCAGTACAAAGTTATACATTGCAGGATGCAGTAAGGTTTTACTGTGCATACTGTAATTAATAAAAAATACAAAAATAGAATGTAAGCATGGGAAACATCTCTTAGGCTGACGTTCCTGTCTGGCATTTTGCACTATTCATTGCTCACAGTGTATTGTTACTGTTTACTATGTATGGTATTGTGTTTATCGGGTGACGGGTCTGGGGGCTGTGTTGGTATTGTAGTATGTTGTGATTTGTTGTTGTCTATTCTTAATTTGTATATGGTCCATACGAAACAACATTTCATTTGGCTATATACTTGTATGCGAAGAATATCAAAATTTTGACTTTATTTAACTTTTTTTTGACAACGTGTTCAACCATTTTGCATGTATCGATTCGTGCAATGAACTTATGCCTAGATGTTTTGGAGGGTAAGATTATTCAACAGAGAACTGGCCTAATGCATTGTGATCAACATGACATTAGCAAATGATAATGTAGAAAACAGCAGACAATTGTAAATAATCATTTGCATCAGTGTGTCAAAGCAATTTGTTAAAAATGATGAGGAATTGCTTTTATGATGTCCATGAGTGAATAGATGATGTGGAGGTTCAGCAATTACTTTTGAGAATTTCAATACTGAACTGAGAAATGCACTAAAGCAACTGAGAAAAACTGTAAGCTAACAGCTGAAGTTTCATGAGCAAAAATCTGAAAACTTAAACACATTAATTCAAAACTATCTGCACTGGTAGATACCACTGGCAGTGAGTCAGATAATGTAGTTTTTGTGTTGGGTGAACTGTCTTTCATTTAATTTGTGTATCTACGGTTATTTTATCTGTCTCTTATGGTCACTCCCTGCATTAAAATCCCAACATTTACTGTAAACTGCAATATTTGCATTTGGTTACAGGTAAAATGACTTGCTTCAGCTGGTAGGAAGGATCTCAGATTTCTAAATGTACCAAGATATTCGCTCATATTGGATATAAGCAGAGCAGAAGAAGTGTTGTTGAATGTTTCATAGTCATTTTGCAGGTGTTGTCCGGACAAATAGCCTTGTGTCATGTCAAATGACAAGATACAAATACAGTATTGGGCAAGGCAGAGAAGTTGACAAAAATTGTATGTTTCTCTAAAAAAGTATCACAAACACACAAACATGTGTAGGCCTACATAGATGCAGTAAATTATATGTTGTCCATGCTTGGCTGACTGCTCCTCTGTTCCACTCAGGTGACTGACGCTGATGCTGCACATGCACAAATGCTTGAATATCCTTCAGGCCATTACATCTGTGCACACACAATGCCATCACTCACTGAGGTCTAAACCACACACCAACTTTCATCTGCAGATGTATGTCCTGTTTCTTTTACGCCGGGTTTGATACAAATGTGTATTATTTGTCTCTAGTTTTAGGGAATAGAATAGTGTTACTGCTTCCTGCTTTTTCTAATAGATTTTTATGTCTTGAGGCTATTTTGTGTCTCAGTGTGTCTGCTGGTCTTTTTACATAGCAAACGTCCTGTTTATTGGTTCTCTGCCCACTCCTCCCCCACATTATTTTCACCAACTGTGTGGAGTCATCAGAAGGAGTTGGTGGAGAGTAGCTTTTCTAAGAGTTGAGGAGAGCACAAGGTGGAGTGATTTTCAGAAGAAACATTTCTTTCAAAATCGTAACTCAGCCTCCTACTTTGTCCTGAGTCACAGTCTGCAACATTAAATGATGCAGAGCTTTTTGACAGTTATCACATAGACTGATTACCTCTTATATATCATTTATACATAATTCTTGCTACGCAGTTTTTTCAAACTTGTCAAGTCGTGTGTATAAATAAATGGTGGTGTAGTAGATAAAGATGTTTCATTTTCATTGAATAAAACTGTTGCTACCATCAGCCCAGTGCATTTTTTTTTCGCCTCTGCAGTTTGGCCCATTCCCCCTTCCGTACGTTTTGACGTACACGGACGTACGTATGCGGAAACTCAGTTGTAAACAAAAAAAGGACAATCACTGCACTTCTCTTCGGAGCTGAAATACAAACGAAAACATAGTTATATTTGTTGAACGCAGTTCGTTAAAGGTAAGCATGAATGTATTAGCTGAGTCAAGTTATCCAGTTTCTTTCTTTGTAGTGAGTGCTACAAGCGGGAAGATATGATCTGTTATGTAACAAATATCCAGCCGTTAAGCGCTAGCCAGGTGCTAACGTTAGCTGTCGAACTTGACATTAATACTACGTTTGTGTCAACTAACAAGTAACCTTACTTAGTCTTAGTACTGTTTAGCTACGTACGTAGTTACTAGTACTATTAACTAGTTAGCTAGCTATATATTATAACGAAACGAAACTAACGTCGAACTGGTATTTAGCTTCAGTAAATTACAAAGATTATTGAGTCAACACAACACTGTTATTATTGTCTTCTTAGCATCGGTCAGATCACATTTCATCTAAAATAAATCCTCCCTAAAATGTGAAAGAAACATTCATAGCATTTACACCTAACACCACTTCACTAAGAGATCAGCTAGTTATGACAAATTAGCTGTCCCACTTAGACAATGTGCTTTTATCACAACATACCGTTTAAAGAGGCAGTTAGCAGTGTGAACCGAGCCTAGATTACACTTGAAAAAAAATGTTCCAGAATATATTATTTATGTTTTGAATATGCCAGTATGCACTAATCAGACAAATATACTAGCTACCGCCAATGTGTATAATGTCTCCGCCAGGGACAGACTATGGCAGGTTGGTTATCTGTCGCAAATTACAGCATTACAGAAGATTAACTGGCTGAAATCAAAAGCTTGTAATTTCTCGTCTCTGAAAAGTTTTCCCCCCTCAACTTGTTTTCTGTCTTTTTAAATAGGTTCCAAATAGTGGCAGTGGTTAATGCAATCGCTAGCTCATTACTTTAAGAAGACATACTTTGGTGTTGTTGGCCCGCAGAAACAACTGCAGCCAACATGTCTAGGAAACAGACGCCGAAACCTGTACGGAGCAACAAGAAGTGCGAATTGGAACGAAAGAGGGATGAGCGAGCAGCACGCAGGGCCATCGTAAAGGACCGCAAGAACCGGCCTCAGGATTGCGATGAAGGAGCAGAGTTTGTCAGTTTCTCCAATCAGCTCCAGGCGCTAGGGCTCAAGCTGAGAGAAGTCCCCGGAGATGGGTAGGAGCCAACAAAAGACTGTGGCATCTAGCTGTGCTTTGTCTCCCTCTGTCCTTTACCATCACTGTTACGTGTCTCTTAAATCTTATTTTATACATAAAGCTTATTTTCAAGCTGGAGACAGCTGAGTAACCAGGATGCCTTGAGAGGGGAACATATTGTACGCCCACAGTTAATAACCATGTACAGTAAACTAAACTGCAAATTATTTACAGCTGTGTGGCTGCTGCTTTGAATAGGCAAATGTTACTAGAGACATAATTTGTCTTCTCCAATAATAACCCCAGCAGTATGGTGCTCTTTGAGATTGAAAAACAAAAACGGTGTCGAAAGGTGTCTAAAGCTTAATGAACTTTCAAGATGGGAATTTAATTGAATGACTATACAGTCTTGTATCTATCAGTCATGTTTACTGCTGGTCAGAATGTCTGGGAGCCTTGCAGGACATAAGTCATTGTTATTGGCCAACACCCAGAAACCTGCACTTATGAATACATCAGTGCAATATAAGCCTTTGATTTAAACATAACCTTCAGTTTGGCCAAGTACCTTAACATTTTAACTATGACTCATTTAACTATAGGCCATCATGTGTAGATACATCATTCGCTGTCTTTGTTTCTTGCAGGAACTGCCTGTTCAGAGCTCTAGGTGATCAGTTAGAAGGTCACTCCCGAGGTCACCTGCGGCTTCGGCAGGAGACTGTCCAATATATGATGTCCCATCGACAGGACTTTGAACCCTTCGTCGAGGACGATGTGCCCTTCGCACAGCATTGTAAGAAAATGATCCAGTGGGTGACACTGAGTAAATCAGCAAAGGAAATGAAATAAAATACTGCGATCAGATAGGACACTTTTACTAATGCCTTATTCACAATTGATTGTGCTCATGTTACTGTGCAGAGGAAGTCCATTAATTTCAATGGGAGACAATTTTGTACAACAACTATGCAGTGACCCCTGGTGGCCATCAGTTGTGTTTGCGATGGAGTGATAGATGCTGTATTTCAGTGTTTCCCAGCCTGGGGGTGGGACCGCCTATAAGCGGTGCAAGTTAAATCTAAGGGGTTGCTACACAGCAGTGTTACACATGATTTTCTGTTTGTTTTCTCCCTCACACTTTTCTCTATTATATGCTTTTTTAACTTGGGAATTACTGGATAAATTGACCTTTTCAGTTCTCGAAAAAAAAATTGGAAAAACAAAATAAGGAATTTATTCACTTTTTGGTTAAACTGACCACAACGGGTAGACATATGTAACTGTTGAAGGGGTGCACATAGACAATACTTTGTTTTAAGGTGTCACAAGCCAACAAGGATGGGAACCAATTTCATCCATTTAGAACCACAGCAAGTCCAAATGCTTTAATCATTACAATAAAATGGATATACAACTTATATAATCCGTTTATAAATGTCAAATGACAGTTTGGGACAATTATAGTGTTTTAAAAGATATACTTTATATCTGCTGTGATGACACCATAGAACGTGTAATGTGTGATCAAAAATTTAGATTATCTTGTGGGTAATTGTTTACATTTCTTTCCAACCAGTGTCCAACCTCTCTCAGGCTGGTACGTTTGCTGGCAATGATGCTATCGTGGCCTTTGCCCGCAGTCAACAGGTGAAAGTGGTCATCCATCAGCTTAACGCACCACTGTGGGAGGTATGGGCAGAGGCACAGGCAAAAACTTTCAAATGACATCATGATTAAATCTCGTTTGGCACACCACACAGTTTATATGGTCTGTAATCATTCCAGATAAACGGCGCAGAGAAGCAGGTGTGCAGAGAGCTGCACATTGCCTACCGCTATGGAGATCATTATGACAGTGTGAGACGGATTGGAGACAACTCTGAGAATCCTGCTCAGCTCCGCATAGAGGTATATAGTATACAATGAGCATTCAATGGACCAGAGTTTAGGAACAACTATTCCTTTCATCTTACAGTAGTTGAAATCATTTAGTAAATTCCAGACCTTCCTCTTTATATGTCAAAAGGGCATCATGTCATGTTTAACATAAAGTATTGTAATATTACTTCCACTGAGGCACCCTTTACTGCTGTATCTCTGATATTTTCTTGCTATTGCTGTTCCCAGAATCTGCAGAATTCACAAGGCCAGCAGCGTGAGTTTGGAGATGGTCAGAGGGACAGACAGAAGAACCTTTCTTCCACATCCTCAGAAGAGGACAACGTGATCCTGAGCTCAATCAAGAATCGAGGAATCCAGGGTCAGAGGTTACGCTTGACTCATTAGCTGCCGTATGAATTAGACTGTCAGGTCAGGGCAAACAAGAACAATTAGGATTAAATTATATTACATTATGCATTCAAGCTAGTCTATTCAGCTAAATTTATCATTGATCCAATACAACACATCAGCTTGTAATTAAGTAGACTGCTAACTTGACATTAATGTAAATGATCTCATCACACTGACCGGTTCTGTTTGTTTGTTTATGTGCGTGTTTTCTGCCTCAGGTGATGAGGAAAACCTGCTCCAGCTGAGTGCGGCTACCATCAATGCTGAATGGCTTGTTGGCTCCATGCTGGGCCAGTCCTGCCAGGGCCAGTGTTCCTCAGGATCCTGCTCAGCCTGTAGAGCTGCATCTGCAGACTGCAGTGAGCATAAACAGCCAGCAGAGGGCATCAACGTACAAAAACCAAAGGTAGACTCCTTTATTACTAGCCAAATGAAGTGCAATCTGAGGCCATTTTTATTTTAGATTTCAGCTAAATGGTTTCCTCTTTAGCCTTAGTCTTTTTTCCATGCATGTGAACAGACGGCAGCATTTTACTGCATTTTAAAAATATGTGATTGATAATGTAAGGAAGGAAATACACCGCACCTCAGTTAAAGTGAAATTATTGAGTTAAAGACCTTCATTTTGTTTCCCTCATTTCCAGGTATCTAACAAGCAGAGGAAAGAGCAGCTGCGGCAAGAGAAGAAGAAGCGCCAGGAGGAGAGGCATCGGCAGAAGTTTCTCCAGAGTAAAGGAAGTCAGGACCAGAACCAGAACCTGCCAGAGGCTGTTACTTTAGTACCAGCTCTCAACACTCTCAGTATATAGACTGGAGCATGGCCAAAATAACGTACTGCTACTGTAGCTACCGGTGGCTGACGCGATCTACAAAGTTTTGCACATAGTAAAGTTAGATTCAGTCACAGCGGATGACTTTTCCTAAAGAGAATCCTATAGTTTCTTTGCAAACGGTATAACGGTGCCTGCAAACTTGTGTGTGTGAGATGTGTGAAAGTTGTAAAAGACAGAGAGTGAAAGAGCATGACTTTCAGTGTTTTTATTAGGTTTTGGTTCAGTTCAATACCTGGTTGGTGTCGGTGTAAGTAGAATCTCCTCTGCCTACCACGCTACCTAACCCCTTTCTATGCTGGACATCTGGCTTTTCATGACAACCATGCAGATAATCTTGTGTAGCTGGGCTTTTTGATTTGCCACAGACTGAGTTAACGTCAGATGTTCAGATCGTTTTGTTTGTTCTGTCTGACCAAAGAAAGAAGTAAAGGAAGAGCGGCAGATGGATGATTGTCATGCACACTGTGTAAGTAATGTGGCAATAAATAATAATAAATGATGATATAATGTTTTTGTGTGCACCGCATAATATATTACATATTATCTTATGTTTTTCAAATAAGAGGTACATTAGTAAGATTAAATCATTAGTAAGATAAAATTATTTATTATTTATTTCCCTTTTTATTTATTTCCTTTGGTGTTGGAGAAAATAACCTAAATACAACAAACTGAACATTAACAATCACAAGGCACATTTTAGCAAGAGGTTGAGTTTGGTTAGTTTTAATTAGTCAAAAAGATTTTATTACTTTGCACACGTAAATAAAAGTAAAAGCTTACATTAAGCATAAATATGTTTACTATAATGGGAAAAATGGTTAATGTGTTACTGGGTATATTTTTATTATCCGTTAACATATCAAGTATTACTGGCTACTAATGTGGTCAGAAATACTAGAAAGGCGCTTTACAAGTACAGAGTATTTACCATCCATCCATCTTCAACCGCTTATCCTGCGTACAGGGTCGCGGGGGGCTGGAGCCAATCCCAGCTGACATCGGGTGAAAGGCGGGGTACACCCTGGACAGGTCGCCAGTCCATCGCAGGGCCACACATAGACAAACAACCAGTTACACTCACATCCACACCTAAGGACAATTTAGGGTCACCAATCACAGACTTTTTACCATTATTCTAATTTCAGATATCTTGGACTTATGCCGCGTTCCAGACTGCTCGGAACTAGAAAATTGAAATATCCGACTTCCAACCTCAAAGCGTTCCAGGTGCGTGACGCCGAAAGTGAACGAAAACCATGGCTGACCGTGACAAAGTGTGCACACAGTTGCACCCTGAGCGGTGCCTTTGGTGTTAATTAAAATGATGCAGTTTAAATGCAAACACGTTACATAAATAGCCTATACGTTACTAGTTAACTGTGTACCCCTCTAACTACATCAGTCAGTCAGTGTTGCAGGTTACACTTCCTAATGTTTTGGCTTTTTTAACAATAACTTTTATGCAGAGAAGATGGCTTTATGAGATTCTTTACTGTAGCCAGCTACCTAATAGGCCTAACATATTTCTACATTAATGTTTTACGCAGAACAGGTTTTACTATATGATCGGATGTATTATTTTAATTTAAATACATGCAGATATACTTTTTGTTGCCTTTTAGTTTGTGGTTCAACATTTACAGTGTGCGCGTCCATTGTTTTGTGACGTCATTCAGCTGCTACTCGTGAAGTCGGGGTACAGATTTTTTTCTCCGAGTTCACAAGTAGGAAATCCGACTTCAAGTGGCGTTCCAGGAATGTTTTTGTACTGGCGGTCGGAAATTTCCCACTTCAGAGTTGCCTGGAACGCAGCATTTACTCTTGAGTGGTCAAACTGTGTATTGTAGGTGTGTAATTATTAAACCAAGGTAGAAAGCCTCACCACTGGGAATGCTACTGTTGTGTGGGGCTGAAATACACCTGTGACACTGGTCTGGTGTGCACAGTGATGACAATACAATGTTTAATAGTACAATTTTCTCACAGGTCATTAGGTCTTCAGTTCTTGATATGTTGAGAATTTGAAAATGATTCTGATTGAATCAGGAGTTCTGACAGGCTAGCTGGTAAGGTAGGTGGTTTATTGTCACAATATAACAAGTTATAGAGTGATATTGAGTTTTGTAACTCCTTTCTGCTACATAGCAGACAATATACATTAATACAAAATAAATTATGAAAAATGGTAAACAGAAATAAACTATAGTCACTGGAGCAGCGCTGAGGATGAATGAGAGTTTAAGAGTGTGATAGCTTGGGGGGAAAAGCTGCTCTGGAGTCTGGTGGTGCGGCAGCTGAAACTAATCTCTCTCTCTTCCCAGAAGACTCGAAAGACTAGACTTAGCTGTAGGGGCCCTGCCAGTACTGCAGGTAGAAATGATGAGAACTTGGAGCAGAAGTTACAGATAATGCCGTTTTACTGTCTGTTGACACAGAGGCTGCCGATTTATCATATGGGGAGTTAGTTGGCAATTTGAAAATAATGATGAAATACAGAAACTGGTCTGTTCTACAAGTAGACTGAGCTCCAGTAAAATAAGAACTGAATAGGAATGAAAAATAACACTGGATATAAACAAAGAGTTTTGCATAAGCAGAACTAGACCGTACACTGAGGTTAGGTTTAATGTAGTGATATCTTGAGTGGTAAAAGTCCAATCCACACACTAGGAAATATGACAAATGTTTTTTATTACAAGCATAAAAAATTACATCAATCAAGGTCAGGCTCAGGGATCATTTTGTCTTGACAAATTATGTACACTTAATTCTAAAAACACTCCTGTGTTGGTAGAAAGACTGAAACCAACTAGCCAATCCACTCCATACAGGTAACTTTCCCTCCTCAGGTTGCTTCTTAGTCCAGTTAGCGGTTTGAAACAAGAAATCTGTCTGTCTGAGGCATCGTTAGTTTGTAGATCAGTGGGGGTACGAGCTATATGCTGGTGCTCTAGAAGTCCTGTCGGATGTTCTCCTTGTTCTCGTCCCCCTGCTGTTGCCTGAGCAAAGAAACTTCATTCTCCAGCTGGATGATGGCCCGCTCGATCTCATAGTTTTTACTGACCAGAGACACCCAGCTGTTGAGGGAAAGGTACAGATGTTACGTCAGAGAAAAATATAACCTACATATTTCCCATGTCCAGTGATATAAACTCTTAAAAACAACATACTTTGACTCCAGCTCTCGTAGTTTGGCTCCTCCTGCTAACTGATCATTTTTGCGTTGCCAGTTTAAATCTTGAATTTGCTTCCTGTGTACCAAAAAAAAAAAAAAAAGTTTATTTGAAACATGTGAAAACTGGTTTAATAACGCTTTAATACAGCACAAATGTTCCAGTGATTGGTCACCTGAATTTCTGAAGTTCCTTTTGGGCCATCTCAATCATGAAGGCCAGGTTACTGAAGGAGGAAGACAGGATAGAACGTTAGCCAACTTTACACTAAACATACAGCGAGTAACAGAGATCGGCTGCTGTCACGTACTCGTTATAGACTTTCCATGCGTTGGTTCCATACTGTGACATGAGCTCCAGGTTCTCAATGCGGACTGCCTGGTGCTCTAGCTGAGCCATCGAGTTGTTCACGCACTCCTGCCACGCTGTAATGTCGTTCTTCTGTCCTGATGAGGGCGCTGGCAGTTCATATCTCCACAGGGAAAAGTCAGATGAAATTATCAACATTGGGAGTCAAAAAGTAAATAAATACATCCAATAATTTAAAATGAAAAAGTAGAGTTACAACTGCAGCTAACAATTGTCGGCATTACCTACCAACAATTATTTTTGTATTCATCATGAATTTGAATAATTGGTAGATTAATTAATGAAAATAATCATAATGATTGCAGCTTTCATTTAGTTTATTAGTGTGATGCCACAGGATTGCTAGGCGTCTCCAGAGGCCTGTACCACAAAGCAGGATCTGAGCTTATCCAGGTAACTTCGGGGGTTAACTCTTTTCAGAACCACGAAGGTGGTTGACTTCTTACCTGGGTAGATTTCCATGGTAACTTATGCTGAACGGCCAACCTGCTCCGGAGCAGGGTATGTTCCAGATAACAGATCAACTCTATGAAAATGCCACCTACTGACCAATCAGCTCTCTTGAAAAATGAAATCACCATCTTTAGGAAATCCCACAGACTGTTTTAGCCAATAGGCTGCTTTATGTTTGCTGCGGTGATGTGGAGAAACTCTTGTCTATAGCGATCTCATCCCACAGAGACTGATTAAAAGCCTTATGCTATTGTTGCCCACAGGTTTTTACAGCAGGATACTGCTTTGAAATGTTTTTAATAAATGTGAGCAGTTTGGTAGTGATATTGAAATACTAAATTTTAATATGAACATAGGCTATCTATTTCAGGTTAGTATAGCTTTCTTAGGCCTACTACAGAGCTGTAGTCATGTCCCACCTTTTGCGCCCACATCGCAAAAGGTGGGACGGTGAGTTTCCAGTCGCCGAAATGTTGAGATTCAGTCTTTCAGCCACTATTTGAGCACATTTTATGGCATGAATGGAGTTTTCGTTTCATTGCTTTATGAAGTTAATTTAGAGTGTGTTAAATAAATTAAGCTCATTTTTGAAGTGACAACAAGTTTTTTTTAAAGTGAGGGGGAACGGCCCGAGTCTTTTAATGTGGAAATGCCGACACACAGCCGAGCTGAAAGAATAAGGCTGAGGATATTTTCATACAGCACATAAGAACACTTTGAATCAATGCAATATTATAGACTACGCCTGTTCATTTAGACATTCAGACTGTCTGCAAATTTCTGTCTCCCTGCATGTGTCAGCTGCAGGCGTGCTACTGTTGTAGCCTATACTGTTACTGCTGCTCACTGTACTGGAAAATAACAAATTGTTCAGGTTGAGAAGCCATCGTTGAACAGAGGAGGGGGTCTACGCCACCACTTATCCCCCAACTCAACAAACGAAACCTATTGGCCTCAGGTGAGGATTCCAACGGCGGTCGTTCAGTCTTGGCCTCCGGTAGTCCTAACGACTGTAACGACTGTCTTTACTCCAGCCAGGAACACTAACGAACCAGCGGTATCGACGATCCTGGCAAACGACCCCACAGAGGTTAAATAGCTGAGTTTCCCTACCAGTCAGTCAGAACTGAAGAAGTCCTTTGGATGAGGGACGAAACGTCTTCTAGTATCTTCAACCAAGTCCAGTTGCCCTTGATTTTAACCTTCATTGGATAACTATGACTTGGATGACTGAGAATCTTCACAGACATTTAGGATTTGGTATTATCAGAGTTCTAGCCACCAATATTTGATACATTTAAGGCCAATTTATACTTCTGCGTCGTATCTACTCGTAGCCATGTACCCTACTCTGTTCCATACCCCATAGCCCGACACGCACCTCCCCGTCGCCACTGCAAGAACTGTGATTGGTCGGCTTGGTAGCATCGCATTTCCTGTTTTCCCTTCTTCTGCCTAAATCGGTCTAACGGTTGTACATACTACGTCCTTCGACGCCTTCTCTTGTCCCTCC